CTGTTCTCTTTCTGCTCCTCCTACAGAAGATCAGTTCTCTTTACAAAGAAACAGAAGTTTGCAGGATCAAGATCTAGGACTACGTCTAAGGGAATAAGGGAGGACTTTTCCTTCAAGCCAGAACCTACGCACAACACCCATCCCTTCATCCCTTCCGGGTCAATCAGGTCCCGCAAGACACTGGGTGGACGGACTTCTGCAAACCAGAACGGGAAACATTAAACCTTGTGCTATTCTAATTACCCAAGGGTTATTAGCACGTCCAGATGTGGTTTTGAACTTGAACTTTCAGCCCATCCACCTCTGCCCAGCCTGGGGAATAGACTCTGAGGTCTTTCCTTCAGGTAATAACAGGATCCTCCACATTAGAAGATGGCTGACCACACGGGGCGCCTGGGTGGCTCAGTCGGTTAAGCACCCGACTCCGGCTTAGGTCATGATCTGGCCGTTCGTGGGTTCAAGCCCCACATCAGGCTCTGGGCAGATGGCTCGGAGCCTGGAGCCTGCTTCGGATTCTGTGTCTCCCTCTCTCTCTGCTCCTCCCCCACTCGCATTCTGTCTTTCTCTGTCTCTCAAAGGTGAATAAATGTTAGAAGAACAAAAAGAAGAAGGGGGAGGAGGAGGAGGCTGGCCACAGCTCCAGCTGTGAAAAGAGTGTGGCTTAAGTGCTACCATCCTCCAAACAGAAGACATTCCCCAGGCGCGCCACACACCTCAAGGCAAGGAAGTGCTGGGGCGCTGGTGCTCGGAGGCAAATCAGGGCCAAGGACAGAAGGGGATTAGCCTAAATCTGGCATTCTGCCACTCTGGGGTTTCTCTTTTTAGACAAAAGCCACAGATGAAATTTTGATCAAAGGAAACCAGTAATGGAAAAGTGAGGTTGGGCCTGTGAAGAAAGGAGTACTCCGGGGTTCACGGTGTCCACACAAGTGTATCTACCCGGGGTGACACTGTGTCCTTAGGGACTTTAAAGTCACGGGGGGGGGGGGCCAGGTGTGAGGAAGGGAGCAGAGCTATCAGCCACAGAGTAAACAAAGGTGGAGACTCCAGAGCAAAGGGCTGTTTGCCTTGCCCCAGGAGTGTGTGCGCCAGCCAACCGGAGGGAAAGAGAAAGGTAATCAGCAGGAAAGTAAACCTAAACCAAAGAAAGGTGATAAAGCCTGTTGCTGGGTCCACCCGACCCAGCAAAAGGAGAGCCACACAACAGGCGTTCCAATCCCCCCAGAGATTGGAAATGGGGAATAGGGCCAAAAGCCTGTTTTTGTTTTTGTTTTTTTTAAGTTTTGCTTTTATTTATGTTGAGAGAGAGAGAGAGAGCGCACACGTGCGTGCACATGAATGGGGGGGGTGGAGGGTGGGGGGGAGGGGGAGGGAGGGAGACAGAGAATGAAAATGAATCTCAAGAAGGCTCTGGCTGTCAGCATACAGCCCGATGTGGGCCGAAGTCAGACGCTTAACCAACTGAGCCACCCAAACCCAGACGCCCCAAAACCTGCTGTTTTAAAAAAAAATTTTTTTTTCAACGTTTATTTATTTTTGGGACAGAGAGAGACAGAGCATGAACGGGCGAGGGGCAGAGAGAGAGGGAGACACAGAATCGGAAACAGGCTCCAGGCTCTGAGCCATCAGCCCAGAGCCTGACTGCGGGGCTCGAACTCACGGACCGCGAGATCGTGACCTCAGCTGAAGTCGGACGCTTAACCGACTGCGCCACCCAGGCGCCCCAAAACCTGCTGTTTTAAAGCTCACTCGCTTCTTCAATAGTGTTTCTCAATTTTTCAGACCAGAAAAAAGGAGGGAAATACCAGAGTAAGTTAGGAGAGAGAGGTATTAAAAACAAATAAGGTGAACTGTATGTGAACTTAAAAATGGTTAAAATAGGGGCGCCTGGGTGGCTCAGTCAGTTAAGCATCCGACTTCGGCTCAGGTCACCATCTCACAGTTTTTAAGTTCGAGCCCCGCGTCAGGCTCTGTGCTGACAGCTCAGAGCTGTTTTGGATTCTATGTCTCCCTCTCTCTCTGACCCTGCCCTGCTCACACTCTGTCTCTCTCTCTTAAAAAGAAACATTTAAAAAATGGTTAAAATAGTAAATTTTATGGTACGTGTGCTGTTACCACCATCAAAAACAAAACAAACAGGTAAGGAAAAAGGATGCATTTGAACATTATGTTTATGCCCCCTGTTTAAGTTTAGCAAGAATTGCAAAGGAGGTTCAAAACCGAAAGTATACCCGCCATGATGCTACACTGTGAAAGGTCAGTCTCCAGACTAACAGCAGAAAAGAAAGGCGGCTCCCAGAACAACTGCAGTCTCGGCTCTGGACTCACCCAGCTTCCCAACAAAGAGCGAAGGGTCACACAAAGCAACCAGAAAAATAATTAAGTGATGATCCCACAAACAGCATGAGATACCATCAGGGAGTGCCCAGCTTCCAGCTCCAGAGGAAGGAGGAGGCTGCCAAACCCACACTCCAGAACGCCTGAGAGGGTAACAGGCAAAGCCCAAGCACCCCTCCCTCCTCAGGAGGAGTTCAAAGTTCACCAGAGCAGAAAGCCAAACGGTTAAGCTCCCTCAAGCTGGGGAACAGAAAGAAGAAACTGGTTTCATCAACCTTTAACTATCACCCTACTTCCCCATCTGAAGACTTCCTCACTAGACCTCAACTCGGTAAGCAAATCCGGCAGGCGCTGAGGAAGGAACCTTAAGGAACGTCTGGAGCTGCTCACTGCTCTGCCTACCACCTGGAAGACCAGGGGAAAACTGAGGCCAAGTTTTCCTGCGAGGAATCCGGCCGGGAGAGGGGAGGGGCGAAGGGGCGTCACCCACCCTAGAACTATCCCCAGGGTGCCCACACTTCAATGTTGAGCCTAACACTCTGCAGCTCAACACGTGGCCGGTTCTTTAAAAGCCACCCTGCCTTCCTTAAGGGGATCTAATCTCCAGAACAAAGGAGACGAGAAGTGTCACTAGCCATAGAGTCACCCAGCCAGTCCATCTCACTTGAATTGACAATTAGAAGCTACTCACACTGGGACACCTGGGTGGCTCAGTCGGTCTCTTGATTTCAGCTCAGGTCATGATCTCACGGTCGGGGAGTTCGAGCCCTACATCGAGCTCCACACTGACAGTGTGAATCCTGCTTGGGATTCTCCCTCTCTCCCTCTCTGTGCTCCTCCCTTGTGGGCACACTCGCTCTCTCTCTCTCAAAATAGGTAAAATAAACTTAAAAATATATATCATGAACATGGGGGAAATCCCCTGAGAAAAAGACGACAGAGAAGACAAGACCCCAGCATTTCTACGCCCCGGTAGAAAAACAAGAGCATTCTAACAATCTCCCACTCTCCCCCCAAAACAGTAATTCTCAGCCACTCCCCAGAGGGGCAGCCAGGGAAAAAACAAAAACAAAAACAAAAACAAAAACAAAAAAAAAACCTGACCAGGCAAGAGAACAACAAGGAATACCAATAAACCACAGAAGTTCCCCATAAGGTCTTCAAATTTTAGCAACACTTACTTTTCTCTCCAGCCTCAAGATTCTCCAAAACCAAGTCAGGAGATCAGTTCCACCCACTAGCCCGTACCCTAGACCCTGGAAAGTCTTGTGACTTACTAAAATTACTGGCCCTCCTCTAAGTAGAAAGCAGTTTCGAGAATCACCATTCATTTCATCATCATTTTATGTTCCAACTTCCAGCTGAGCCAATATTATCTTTAATAAAAAGAGACACCGTGGCGGGTAACTGGGAAACAACAGAGCGTCACTAGAGGCTCCTTGGAACTCATTATTTTGTCTGCGCGAACCACACTGCCGAGGTCAACCAGAAACCTTGACAGAAATTGGCACTCAATCCGAGTCTCGGCCACACCAACTGGCTTATCAGCTGCGCTTGGAAGAAGTGTTCTTAACCGGCTGGGCCTGCACTGATTGCACTTCAGCAACAAAGGCCAGAATCCTGCAGAAGTCCCCGCCTTCCAGGTCGTCAGGGGTAGGGCCAGGCGAGTTTTGTTGGCTCGCACATTTGCACTAACACAGTGAGTGAGGTACCAACTCCTCCTGGGCGGCTTCGCGGCGGTTGACACAGTGGGTTTAGCAGTTGCCCCCACAAAAGGAAAGAGCCCCAGGCCGGAGGATGGGAGGCGGTGCTGTGGCCTTAACCTCCTCCAGGGAGGGCACCGCGCTTCCTCTCAGCCGACTGCAGCCTCATTTCCTGAGCTGGAGGAGGGAGCGGAAAGGCTGCCAGCAGGCCAGGCCGGGGGCTTTCCGGCGGTTCCCACCCCCACCCCCACCCCTGCACAGTAAGTCGGCCCTGCCCCTCCCAGGCCAGAGCAGCACCCACCTACTCTCCCCCCTTGGGCCGGAAACCTCTAACGAGAGCGAATTTCCCCCCCCCCCACCCCACCCCGCCCTTCACCGAGGAGTGGGGGAGGGAGAGGCCGCTGAGCCCCTCCCCTGGCCGCGCCAGCCTCCGAAGGACTGAATGAATGAGCGGGGAGACAGGAGGAGGAGGAAAACCACTTTCCAGGCCCCGCGAGGCTCAGTTCCTTCAAAGGTCAAGCCGGCTCACCCGAGCGCCCAGTTCCCCCTTCGTCCGCCTCAGGTCCAGCCGCGGGTGAGCCCCACCCATCCGCCGGGCTCCAACCTCATCTCCGAGTCAGCCGGCGCCCGCGGCCCGCGCTCCGCCGCGAAACCAAGGGCCCCCCTTCGGGGTCCCAGCCGCTGCAGCGCCCGCTCCCCCTCGCGCGCCTCGCCCTCTCCGTACCTGCTCCCGTGCCCGCCTTTCCCCCTCCACTTCCCGCTGCAGGCGCTCGGCCCTCTCCTCTGCGTCATCGGCTTGCTGCTGCAGAACCTGGATCTTGCGCTTCACCGCCTCGATGGTGGTGATCCCGGCCATGGTGCCCACCCAGCCCCTGCTCGCTCTCGGCTTCCTGCCTCCTCCGCTCGGCGCTGCAGCCGCTTCTCACCCCCACTTCCGCCTGCTCCTCCCTGAAATACCGGAACTCGCCCACCCGCCCGGATGTGGCGTCACCGCCGCGCCCTGCCGCGACAGACCCCGGGCGGGCGGCCCTCGGCGCGAGCGCGGGGCGGGGCCTTTCCCAGCCCAGCAAAGGGGGGCGGGGCAGCGCCGGGCGCGGGCTACCATGGCAACCGGAAGGCGCGCGACAGGCTGCCCTCTGCCCCGCAGCAGGTCCGCCGGGCCGCGCGGCGTCCGCCTTCACCGCGCACCCGACGCCGCCCCGGCTTCCACCCACCGCACACAGGCTCCAAACTCGGGTGCGGGGACAGGCCAGGGCTTGCTGGGCCCCAGCCTCAGAAGAGCCCGGCTCTGCAGCCTCCGCTCCTTTCCGGGTGGGCCCAGGTAGGTTCTCTCCCACCCTAACCCACCGCCTGAAAGTCAAGGCAGGGAATTCCGGGGGTGAGAGAAAAGGCCAGGATGGCGGACTTCTCGTTCCCTCGGCATCGGTACGGATCTCGTCCTTCCCCCGTCACCTCGGAGGGTCACTGTGCACCAGCGATTCACCGACCTGCCAGGCCTTCCGAACCTTGAGTAATTTAGGTATGGTAATCAGTCGTCACATTTCTCTGTGCAGGTGAGAAAGATTTTATCAGGAAGGAGTCCTCTCTTACAGATCACTGTTACCAGACCCTTTGTGCAACAGCCACGTGAGTGCCTAGCAAACGTCCTGTGGAACCGAGCCTCTGTTCGGTGATAACTAAACAGTGTCACTGCCACTTCTACCTTCAGGTGCCCTGAGTTAGAAACTGCCTCCCAGTCCCTGCCACGTGGGACTTCTGGAAGCACAATAGTAAAGAGACTTGAAAATTTTACCTCCTGCTCTCTCCTACTTGTTTGTACTGTGCGCCTACCTTCCCTGTAAGCCATCATAGCAAACGTCTCCTCTGCTGCGACTCTCTTTTCCCCTCAAAATTATGGTGCGGAGCAGGACTCAGGACTAAGACTCCTGGTCCCTGAAATGACTGGTGCTGCCCTCAATGCCTGCTTCTGAAGACACTCCCTCCAGAGGCTTCCTCTTCCTATTTCCTTTTAGAAATACCGAGCAATGAGCTGTTTAGAGGAAACAATTCAAACAGTAAATAATTTGCTTGGTAGAGTACGCTGTGTACTGTTTTTTCCCTCGCGGAACTGGGAAGGAAGAACAGGGAGTAAACTCGACCCTGATGGCCTAAGAATTTTTCCAGCTCCTCTCGGAGAAGTCTGGTCAGAGAGAAGATGGAAACAGAAGTGAGACTTTGGCATCTGGGTGATGAGCAGCAGGGGGCGCTGTTTACCTCCCTTTGCCCTGGTGAAGCGGCCGGCGCCCTCAACGCAGACCAACCCAGGGCTGCTCGGAGCACCGCTGGATTCTGTGAACAGATAATCTTCTCTTGATCCAGGGAGACAGGTGGATTGACTCCTGATACCCTTTAAAGGCATGATGGACGGGCAGCAAAGGGCCCAGTGCTAATGTTTTCCTGGTGACCAACAATACAACAATGTATCAGCAGGTGTACGTGTCCGTCCCCCACCCCTCTCACGTCTGGTATTACTCTTTGTCCTAACCTTGCACTCCTCTTTCCCCTTGCTTTACCCTAATGAGCTTCTGACTTCACCTCGGGTTGAGAAGCCCTTACACACGTGAATGTTCTTACTGCCATTGAACTGTACCCTTAGAAGTGGTTAAAATGGCAAACGTGATGTAGGCTTCGTTACAATTTTTTGAAAACGATTTCAGACAATTCAGGGATGAAAAGGTGAAGCTTGTACTGACCTTGCCATACCCTTGCCCTTTTCTTTCTTCAAGCAATCCAGCAAATCCTGTGCTTTCCAGAAAAGCTGCTCAGATAACCAGAACTCCCTGTGTGAGCGAACATGCAGCCGTTGACTCCCTCCACTCCCTCTCCTGCCCTTATATCCACATCAGAGTACTCTGCTCTGTTAGCCTCGAGGGTAGGAGCTGAGCTGTGAACTTCCCGGGACACTTGTACTGGACGCGCACCCTCCCCCTGAAGATGCAGACATCATGTTGCTGGTGACTCTGACCCTTGCTCTCTGCTTTAAACCTATTGCTTCCTCCTTATTCAGCACTTTTTCCAATTCCTATAAACACTTCACTTTCCTTCTCTGATTCTTTGAGGCAGAAATCCCCCAACTTTTTCTGGGAAAGGCCAGACAGTACAGTTTTCCTGGCTTTGCAGGCCACAGGGTGTGTTGAGCTCCATGGGACAAAGCCTGTGGATGATATGCAAGCGAATGGGCATGGTGTCGTTGCAGTAAAACTGTACAAAACGAGGCTGTGACAGGATTTAGCTCACAGGTGGAAGGTTGCTAACCCCAGCTCTGAGAAAAAAAAACCTTTCTTCCTGCTTCCTTCCTAGCCTAACGTATTTCTGCCTGCTGCTCACAGCCTTCCTCCCCCACTTCTTGGCCTCGGGCACACCTCTGAGGGTACCCGGTACTCGCTGACTTGTAGGGAAAGCTAACAGGGGGAGAGAAGTTAAACAAGTTTTTCTACCCACATACTACATATTGAAATGGGTTTTGGTGGGTTCCTATATAAACATGAGTAACTTCTTTCGAGTGAATATACTGAACCCACCCTGTCTGGGTGGGGGATGACAGTGCGTGTCTGTATATGTGCAACAGCGTAGGACAGACAGAATTCGTCCCCAGGAATTTCCTTTATCTTCCCAGTGAAATAGGGGTATCATCTAGAGCCTCTGTGTTTCTCTCTCCCAAGATCGAAGGTTAGACTTGTTTGTTCTTTCCTTGCTCCTGGACACACCTCCTCCAACCCACATACCTGCCGCTTTAGCCTTAGCCTCTCCAGGAGAGTCGTCACCCAACATCTCATAAAACTCCCCTTAACCCGACACTGCCAGTTTGCGAAAACTTCTGTCCCTATGAGCCAGAGAGATCATCTATCCATCTAGACCCGGAACCTTGGTCAGGTAGTTCCAACAGGCCATCAAGCATCTGCCCAAACCTCTGGAGGTAACCTGTGTTTTCTGCAGTTTTCCAAGAAGGAAGAATTGATAGTTTGCAGGGGACTAAACTCTTGGAAACCACAAATATGTATAACGTATATGATCCTCTTTGTATCTCTGACCTCTGGCAGGATACGTTCAACAGCCCTCGTTACGTTCCCTGGCCACTGCAGGTGGCAGAGTGCCAAAGGGGAGATGATGGGCCTGAGAGCAAAGAGGCCAAACTTGAGGGTCTGGAAACATCTGCGAATGACCCACTCTGTCTCTCTATTTTCCAAAACCAGGCGCTCCTGGGGCACCTGGGTGGCTCAGTCGGTTAAGTGTCTGACTTCCACTCAGGTTGTGATCTCACGTTTGTGAGTTCAAGCCCCACATCGGGCTCTGTGCTGACAGCTTAGAGCCTGGAGCCCGCTTCGGATTCTGTGTCTCCCTCTCTCTCTGCTCCTCCCCCGTTCACGCTCGGTCTCTCTCAAAAATAAATAAACATTAAAAAAAGTATATGTGCTCATAAAAATATGTGTATGTGTGGGTATATACAGATATATATATATATATATATATATATATATATATATATATATATATTTGCTCCTATTTTCCTATTAACTCCGTGCTAAGAATTGACTGTATTTCCATCAATCCCACACTTTCTTTTGTTGCTGTTATGTCACTTTTCTTCCAAACATCTTTCCTTCGTCGCCTCTCATTTACTGTTGTGCTAAAGCTTTAAGCTTGAGGGTAAATGGAAGTAGGTGGTGACGGGATAAACATGAAGTGGAAAAAAACAATTTATTTCATGTTCAGATGGAAAAATTGAACCCAACTGCAGAGAAGCTGAGTGAGTGAGTCATTGCCACAGAGTAAGGTCTGGTGACCCCTTTTCCCCTGTAAGACTCCTTGTTGCTACCCAGCCCGTCATGAGCAATGCTTGCTGTGGTGTCTCCGTGGCATAAGGGCAGGTGCCCACAGTGGCCCAGATGAATAAACCCATAGAGGGCCAGGGTCATTGTGACCTCTTTTGTCCCATTGTGAAATCTGAGCTGGCTCTGCTGGGCGGTTGAGAGATGAGAGTTTCCCTATTAATATCCATATCTACGTGCCAGGGCTTGGACACAAAAGCGAGGAATGTGGCATGGGGGAGGAGGTGGGAAGAGTGATAGCAGGTCTCTGGGCCTGGAGACCCCTCCCTTTGTCTGGGTCCTGGGAAACATAGTGAAGTTCCTGGGTTGAGGATGAGACAAAAATGAGACATTTAAGAACAAATGAACATGCCATCAGGAGGGTATGTCAGCATGTGATCGTGTGCCAAAATGCACGCGAGCATCTATTTCTACACCCTGAATCCACAAGTATGTATGTGTCCAAGCGTGGGGTTTCGTCCTATCAACATGGCGCTCTGCACATGCGGATTAGCCCACCTTCCGACTCTGTCATACGTACGTCAGCAGCCTTCTTCTCTGCCAGCTCCAGCTTCTCCTGGGCGTCCTTCAGAGCTTCGGAGTACTTGTCCAGCTCATCCTCTGTCCCTTTCAGCTTCTTCTGCATGGCCGCCAGCTCATCCTCCAGCTGCAGGAGCCCCACGAGTCACACACAATGGAGCAGGCCCAGACCGGGGGCTCCCAAGCCCTGACAGACCCCTGTGCTCGTTCCCAAAGAGACATACTTTCTCCCTAGCCACTCCCAGCCAACTGCCCTAGGAGTTATGCCTTGGCCTGTGACCCTGGGATCTCTGACCTTAAGATGACCAAGCCATGGTGGGTTTTCATCCAAGACCCTGGGATGGTAAGGGTGTAGACGCCTGTGACTCAAGACTGGCTCAGTCGGTAGAGCCATGTGCCTCTTAATCTCGGGGTTATAAGTTCGAGACCCACGTTGGATGGAGAGATTACTTAAAAGTAAAATCTTCAAAAAAGATCAAGGGAAAAGAGATCCTGTGTGCCCGGCCCCCACATTTTCCTCTAGAAACTGGGTTCTCCCAGAACATGGTCCGCCCCGTTTAGATCTGGCAGACACACCAGGGCTCAGAGGGGGCTGCTGGATTTCCCAAGGTCACACAGGCGCTCTGGAGCCGAGACGCTGGACGTCCTCTGCCTGTCCAGTGCGGCTGGGGAAGAAGAGAGTCCCTCCCGCCCAAAGAACAAGCTGGGCTGGTGGCCACTGCCTCTCCCGCGAGAGCCCTCTCCCATCTCGCAGTCTTGCTCGCCAGCAGGCAAAAGAGAGCGGTGCCAGCACCCACCTGCTTGCTTCTCTCCTCTGCCTGCTTTTGCTCTGCTTCAGCTTGCTCTGCCCGGTCCAGAGCATTCTCCTTGTCCAGCTTCAACATCTGCATCTTTTTCTTGATGGCCTCCATCATGAGCTGTGGCTGTTGGTGAGCTCGCCTGCGAAACCTGGAGAACTGGAGGCCAGGGCAGGAGAGGAGGGCAGCTGGCTGAGTGACTAGGCGGCCCCCAGGCTCGAGCCTTTTATCTCTGCTCACGGCTCCACCTCTTGTTCCTAATATGGTCTTTCCAGCTCCTTCCATCCCATTATTGTTCTCCCTGGGGGAGCGCGGGGTGAGATACTTTGATGGACTGACATCACCAGCAAAGAAAAATTGGGGAACAGCTGAGGCTGATTTTAGACAATGGAAAGTGGGGGAGGGGAGAGGTTCTCCCTGACCCTGGCACGTTCCACCCTCTGGGCAGCTCTGTGGGTGTTTGAAAAGAGCAAGGGGAGGGGAGAACACTGAAATACAGGAGGGTACTTTGGCAATTCTAGGAGCGTAGCTTTCACCCAGAGGGTCCTAGTTGCCCTTCCGTTTCCCCATCACCCTCACCCCCCTCTGTGCTGGATGCTGGTCAAAGGCCACTGGTGGAGTTTTACCTTTTGATTCCCAGCATTCAGGGAGCTTGAGCCACAGTGAAAAAGGAGAGGTCACTCGTGATGATCCCTGACAATTCCCCCGGATCCCCAGATCAAATTACTGTGCTATTTCAAGAGTCTCTAATTGGCAGGGAGACATCATTCCTCCCCATTAAGAGCCACAGGGACACAGTAAGCGGTGACCGTCGGTCCCTGGGAGGTCCTCCCAGAGCTTCAAGTGAGGTGGGGGAGAGAAGCAGGGGAGGATCAGAGTAATCTGGGTGGGACCATGCCCTCTGTTTGCCCACAGTGGTCTTTAGGTAGAACTTTCATGCCCACACTGACCAAGCACTGTGCTGCTCTCCACTCTTGTCCTCTGCTCTCTCCTTACCCAACCTACCGCCATCCACACATCACAGTCCTCATCGGTGCCAGCTCTGTTCTCCCTGGCTTGACTCCAGGCCATGTTCATTCCTCCACTTGGAGCCTGTTACTGACGGGTGGCAATTGATCCTAGTACACCAGTGCCACACAATCTGAGAATATGCCAGGGGAGAGGTGGGCACTGTTCAAGGTGACCAGAGCTATCAGAGAAGACTATGAATGTGTCTGATTAGTCATATGTCAAGGAAAGATGGCTAGCGTTAATACTAAGCCCCAGCAGTGGGGTAACTGAGACACCCACCAGGGCACGGGGCAAAACTGGAGTCTACTCTTGAGGTCTTCCAGTCACTAGAGGTAGATGGGCAGATAGGCTATCAATTGACTCTTGAAGGGAAGCAGAGAAACCAAAGACCCTCGCTGCAGGACCAGTGAACAAGAGAGTCCCAGGGCCAGGAAGCAGCAGTTAATAAGGGTGGGGGCAGTATTGAATAAGGAGGAAAAAAATACAAGGACAGAAGATCAGAGCTACATCCCTTCCAGTAAAAGGGGAAGATACGGGACGAACTGAAACTCCAGTGCCCGCCCTTGTACTCCCGCACTAGCTCTCCAGCCTAAGAGCGAGGCCCACGTAGGTTGCAGCCACCGGTGTTCCAAAGGGACCCTGGAGATGAGCGGTTCGGTAAAGGGGCCCCAGAGGTTGATGCCAAATTGCCCACTGCTGTAAGAATATGTTTGATATTTAGTTGGTTCCTAATTAAACAACCCAATATCAAACATATCACACAGAAGCCGGCAGGAGAGTTTCGGTGGTCGTCTGCCTTCCTCCCCTCCAGCCACCAAGCTTGCCTACATGGAGAGCCATCTCCTTGGGGAAGGACGCTGACCCCTGTTCTTTGCCTCCCAAGACAGCTGGCTCTCACTCGTCTGCCCTTCGTGCTGTCCCTGTATCAGCTCCTCTCCCACCAGCGCCTGGCCTTTGCTGGATCACGTTGGCCCAGACCAGGAAGCCTGTCTGGCAGGGCTCCACATCCGGACACCTATCCTCTCCAAGGGCTCCCACACGGAGCTTCTCGCCCTGATGTCGCGCCCATGGCACTGAAGGCCGGCCCAGCCGCCTGCCCTCCCCAGCCTCCTTCCCACTGCCCTGAGGCTTTCCGGGGGAGGGCCTTTTTTGGGGGGGGGGGGTGCTTGTACACCCTGCTTTACCTTTCGAACGGAACTCCTAACCTTCCAGATCACCCCGCCAGACTGCCGAGGGCCTTTCAGCCCACAGCATCCTGGAGTCCTCCTGCTCTGAAGTACTACAGGGAAGTGGCCATGAGAAACTTCCAGCGCGCTTCTTCCATCATCTTGTTCCTTCTCCCCTTCTCCCCATGTCTTCCAGGCACCCTCAAAGTCACCCTTGGGTGTCCGGGAGAGGTGAGGGACCTGTGCCCCTGGCGGGCTCCAGCCTGGGCTCCGGAGAAGGTATATGGCCTGCCCTGCCTGGCAGAACTGAAGCGAAGACTTTAGGAGATCAAGGGCGGAGCCCCTCTGCCAGGAAGAAGCCCACAGGCCTTGGTGCTCTTCTCCCGGCGTCTTCCCTCACAGGGGTCCAGCCTGGCTCCCCGCCGGGGGGGGGTTTCTTCTGAGGAGGATCAGGTCTGTTGACCGTCACGCGGCAGGCGGGTGTGTCTCCGCTGTGGCAGAACGGAGCCCGAGTTATAGCTGCAGCGGGTGGCCGTGCGGGGGTGGGCGGGGGTGCCCTGCTTCAGCCCCAGGCCTGTTCCATGTGTCCGTGTTCCCATTAGTCCGGATTCCCACCCCCACCCTGCCCCACACATATACCCACTCCACAGTGCCCTTGATCTAGATCAATGGCTTGTCTAAAGCCCCAGTCGATGCCCGTTGTGCGCCTCCGGCCCTCCAGGGGAAGGCTGACAAGAGGGCGCGCGGCCCCACGCTAACCCTGTGGTGTCATTTCGTGTCCTTGCTCCCCATGGCTCTTACTGGGGGGGGGGGGGCGGGGGGTGTGTGTGTAACGCTTGCTCTCGTGACCACCAGCCTCACCCTCACCCCCACGTTCAGCTCCCTTCTCTGGGAGCCTCAACTGCCCTGGTGAACCAGAGGCTAGGAAGTGACAGGAGCGAAAAGCACCTCATGTTTGGGGACACTGATGTAGAAGAGGAGCAGTTCTCTCAGAAGGAGACTGACCTCGGGGCTCGATGAGGCAGGCCTCAGGTGGCCCCGATAAAAGGGATCTGAGTCTCCTGGCGGTGCCTCCTGTGTGGCCATCTCGAACCAGGCCGGACCCTCTGGGGCTGGAGGTGGAGAAGGTGCCAGCCCCAGAAGGAAAAGGGGCTGGCTGGGTGGCTATGACCCGGGGAAACAGTTGATGTGATCAGAGCAGACAGAGCAGGCGGGGGGAGGGGGGGGTCACAGGAGATGGGAGGGGGGGCAGCCTGCCAATACCGGAGCCAGCCGGGCTCTGACAAGCCCTGGGGAGAGAGGCCAAGGTCAGGGACCAAGGCAGGAGGGGTGGGGTGTTGTGTGGGTCCCAATAAAAAGAATGAGGAGGAGTAAAGGGGCTGCTGCAGGAGTCGGGGGTGGCTGGGGAGCAGCCAGGCAACAGAGAGGAGGTGAGAAGGGAAAAAAACTCTCAGGGGGCAGGAAAACACTATGGCTCACCATTTATTGGACCTTATGCACCACCTCTCTGCAAAGTGCTTCATTTCATCCCCACAGCAATCCAGGGAGGTAGGCATTATCTCCAGTTTACAAACAAGGAGCTGGGACCCAGAAAGTTAAGGTAACTGGCCCAAAGCCACGCAGGCAGGCAGTGACAGAGGCAGGATTCAAACCCAGATCTGCTATGCTCTGGGGCCAGGCTCTCCTGGACAATGTACACAGCAGGGCCCACTGGAAGGCGGCTGTGGGCAGATGAAGGACCGGCGGGGGCGGGGGGGGGGGGCCCCCCCCGCAGGATCAGAGACCCAGCCTCAGGCTGCAGGTCAAATCCAGGCCGCATGCGCCTGCTTCTGTCCCTCGTAATGTGTCACCTTGCCTTCCTCCCCTGTCCATGCCTGCCTCCCAGCCCGTGAGCCCCGTGCCTTGTTGGCTACAGGAACTCGTGAGTCATTGACTTAGAGATGCTCGGGAAGCAGGGCTGTTGGAGGTGAGGACGAATGGGTGCATGGGGGCACAGACACAGGCGTGGGGTGAAGTGGCATCTCGGGTGCATGGGGGTGGCCGGGGCGTGGCGAGGGGCTTGTGAACGGCCAGGGTCACAGTGAAACCTGAGAGAGAAAAGGGAGGACACCGGCTGTGTGCCAAGCACTAGGCTTGCTCGCTATGAAATTTTATTTAATCCTCATAATGATCCTATGAGATGGGCATCACTGTCCCCATTTTCAGAAGAGGAAACTGAGGCTCAGAGAAGTAACTTACACAAGCTGACAGCAATTAAGAGGCACCAGACTTAGAACCCACACCTGACTCCAAAGCCCACACCCTTCTCCATACCTGCTGCCTCTCTGTGCCCATCAGTGGGGCGTGCAGGGAGAAAAGGAGGGGGCTCTGGTGTCGGAGGGGAGAAATGCCCACTGAGGGTTGGAGCCAGACGGGGGGAGGGGGTGGCGGCGGGACGGGGAGACCAGAGCTGTGCAGCGCACACAGCCGCACGGAGCAGAGGGCAGGACAAGCTCCGTGTGGACAGGACAAGTGGCCGACGAGGATGCTGACAGCAGGTGAGGGGACCGGGAAGTTGCTCTGGCCTGGCGGTGACAGTTTGTCCTGGCACCTGTTACCGGCTGCACAACGGGGGTCTCTCTGGCTTGTGATGTCATTTTATGCAAAGCAGATCTTCATAAGTAAGGTTCTCTGTGGCCCACAGATGCATGTGACCAACCAGTACCTTTTAGAATTCTTGAGAATCTGAAGGCCGTGAGATCGTACACGCTCTGAGCAGCTTCACATAAATCGCTGCTCCTTACTTCCTTATAGCTGCCTTACCCCTCATTGCACTGGAGTTTGGAACCGTGTCAATTTGCAGAGGTGGGAATTCGGGTCCAGAGGAAAGAGACCTGTCCCAGGTCTCATCATGGGACCCCAGGCCTCCTGCCAGCCAAGCGCCACGGCACCCATGGGTGAACAGCCACACTCAGAGCTATTTGTCCAGGAAGATGGAAAAGACGAGAGGAAGTGAGATCGGAGAGGCAAGTGAGCAAAACCCAGGAAGCTGTTTTAAGATCACGGGTACAGCTAAACCCTTTTGCAACCAATAGGGATTCAGGGCCGTAGAATGAGCCATATGTCTGCCTTCGAGCCGTTAAGAGCCAGCTTTGTTTTGGGCGCCGTCAGAGTCTCTCCACGTAAAATGCTCTGCCCATCAGATTCAGTTCCTGCTGGTACTGCTGATGCTCCTGTTCAAGCAGCTGGTGCAGGGCCGCTCGACGGGCCTGGCGGGGGTGTGTGGGGAGGCAGAACAGAGTGTGACGTCAGGCCGGCCCCTTTCCTCGTTCTCCCGCGATGGCAGTCCAGCGTGCGTCCTCCTGGCTTTGGACTTAGCTGTGCCACAAAGCTAGGCGGTAGCATCGAGGCTGCGCACTGCAGGGGAGGCCTACGCAAGTCTTTCTCCGTGGATGAAACCCCACGTTCAGCAATTACTTGCTGAGAACACCATGAACCGTGACCTCCGCCAGGCCCCGGGACACACAGATGGCGACCTGCTGGCGACCGGGTTCTCCCGGGAGAGAGGGGCTCTGAGAGGCAGGTGCCGGGCACGGACACGAGGGGAGCGAGGACTAGTCCGCGCCCCGGGACTGGAGGCCGGGTCACCTGCAGCCGGACGCGAAGAGCCACTTGACGAGACCCGGTACTGCTCCAGTGTGATGCTGAAAACCTCAGAGGCAGATACACTGGGCAAGTACTGGCAGCAGTGAAGAGCTTGGGACCCCGGCGGACTCTGCAGGGCAGTGAGGGTGAGGCTTCAGGTCACCCTTGCGAGAACTCACCGTCAGCAGCTGCTTGTTGGCCAGTGCCAACTCCTGTCCCCTGGTGTCCTGCATCCTTAGGGCAGCATACAGGTTTCTCCTCTGGCCCAGCGGCGTCTGCCACATACAGTGGGTGTGTGAATTCTGCCACCTGCCCCAGGCACAGAGGAAGGAGCTGACTGGATCAGTTAGGAGTGGTGACACAAACCCCATCACCGGAACCTCTGTGCCCATGTCAGAACACGGCCAGCTCCTTGAAGGGTAACTAGAACTAAGAACCTAGTATGCGTTGAATCCACAGGCCGCTGAATCATCATAACCGTGTGTCAGAGATACTAATTTTGCACGGCACACACGGAAACAAAGTTCAGGTGAGTCGCCTAAGGTCACTTAATGGCAGACCTGGGTATCAAAATCCAGTCTAAAAATTAATACCTTCCGTTACACCATGGTTCTCATCCTTAGCTAGACAACATTCTGCAATCATTTAAGGTTTTTTAATTCATGAGAGAAATATGCATTTCTCTCCCCCCACCTCTCTCACACGTGTCCTCTGCTCAGGTAACCCTTGAGTTTTATTTTTTTTTTTTTAAGATTTTTAAGTAATCTCTACACACAACGTGGGGTCAAACTCACAACCCCAAGATCAAGAGTCACACGCTTCGGGGCGCCTGGGTGGCTCAGTCGGTTAAGCGTCCAACTCTTGGTTTCGGCTCAGGTCACGATCTCACGGTTTGTGGGATTTTCTCTCTCCTTCTCTGTCCTTCCCCGGCTCGTGTGCACGCAGTCTCTCTCCAAATAAATAAATGATAATTTAAAAAAAAAAGACTCGGGGCGCCTGGGTGGCGCAGTCGGTTAAGCGTCCGACTTCAGCCAGGTCACGATCTCGCGGTCCATGAGTTCGAGCCCCGCGTCGGGCTCTGGGCTGATGGCTCAGAGCCTGGAGCCTGTTTCCGATTCTGTGTCTCCCTCTCTCTCTGCCC